ATACCGGTCCGAATATGTTCATTAACATATCCAGACCGATATCGGTCCGTATATTTTTGTGTTCAGACCGACACTATTCGGTCCGTATATGATCGGTCCGTATACGTCATTTTTCTAGTAGTGTGAATGTCATTGTACTAATCAAATTAATTATGTTTAAGCTATTCCTTTTTAACTTGATTAATTATTTTTTGGGTTCTCTCTTTTATAATTTATAGTTGTGAGACGAATAATTCAAGACCAAAGGTGACTATGGCTTGGGGTGTTTATGTCACCTACTGGAATAATCCTAGATGTTCATTAATATTTTATTTCTTTTAATTCAATTTTTTATCAATAGGATTTTTAGTTTTGATCACTCGACAAACTTTAAACATTTTTCTTGGTTTGCCTTAGTTGTTCTCTCCTTCACCACAGCACTCCTTGTAGGGGATCAACCTGTACTCGATAAAATTCTACAACAACGATGTGCGCTTGTGTCTAAGACTTTGGTCCACATCAATGAGTTATGTGTTAATTGAATATACTTAATAGTTTACTTATTCACCTTCATTGTGTATATACATGTTTGTTTGTTTGTTTGTTTGTTCTTCCTTTTTTTTTTTTTTTTTTTGTGTATATACATGCTTAAGGAGAGCCTAAGTGCTTATATCAAATTCCAATTTGTTTGCCAATACTTGCGTTGATTGTGATCATATGATGCTGATATGATGATTTTAATGATAACAAAACATTTTAAAGAATTTAATAAGTTTTGTCAAGGGTGTTTGAACCAAAGACTTTTCTCAAAGATCAAAGCATTTGAAAGTAGATATAACAAACTTTCTAAGAGTATACGGGCATTAAAATGTAGTTCGGATGAGAAAGATATTAAGTCTCAAAGTTGAAGGAAGTTCTGAGACGAGTAAAATTTTGAGGAGATCCATTTCCAGAAATGGTGAGTAGCTCTAATACAAGTAAAATAGCTCGCAACATTTAAATTAAAGGAAGAGAGGTAGCTGCAACAGAGAGTTGGAATTTAAGGCGAAGTTTAGGATTGCTGTCTACAAAATTTTCTGCCTGCAACCACAATATTTTTCAGAAACTTGGTTTTGGTTAATTTGCAAGCAGTGCATTTTTAAAAAGTAATACACAGCTATATTAAATTTTATTAACAAGATTCCAAAATCACTCATCATTTATCATTATCTCTTGTAATCTTAAAAAACTAATTAATTAAAATTTAATTAATATTTGTCTAATTTAATATTTTTACAATTATAGAACATTTTTAAAAAATAATTACCAAGCACTAATATGCTTTTGGTTATAATACAATATAGCAAAATAATAGATATAGTGGCAATACAACAGCACATGACAATTCTAAATATAGAATTGGCTTCATGAATGGAGAGTCAGCTGCTCTTAAATGGTTTTTAACAATATAAATAATTAGTTTCAACTTTGGGTTTATAAATATAGTTGGGAAATATTTGGAAGAGCTTTTAGATGCTTGTTGGAACATCCATAAACCTTATATATGTGAACTTATATTTACAAAATCCTTTAAAAGAGCTTGATCTTTCACTTGCGCATATTGGATCTTTGAAAAATCATCTTCTTGTGATAATTCTTTTGCCCTCGCTATTGTGAGCATAAGGATGGGTAATATTCTAAGAAAAATTTTGAAGGTATCTGATTTTTTAAGGGTAAGGATTAGGTGTTAAATAGTTAGGTCAAACTGCTATAAAATTGTAGTGCTTGGCCATTCTTTCTTCTTTTCTTTGCATTTTGTGATTGTGGTTTGTTAGGTAGAAATTTAGGTTGAATCCAAATCCCTCCTTTCATTTAGTGCGTTGAGACAATCAATCACGTGGAGTTGAAGGACATGTGAAAGCAATAACAGGACTATTGAACATTAGCCGAAGAAATCGAGGTGGAGAAATCAATACACATGAATGCGGGGTGATTGATAGGGATGGCAATTTTAGCATGGAAGTGGGGAAGGGGTGGGGGGAATATTCCTCCCTACAAGGTAGGATTGGGAAGCGTTTTCTCATGAATTTTTATGGGAAATTTTCACGTCCATGAGCATCCCCATTCTCGTGAGTTATTAAAAAAATAATAAAAAATTATTTAATTTAATTTAATTTAAGTATTTAACTCATACTTATAGTTTATATTTATTGTTCATTTTTAATTTTAATTTAATATAAAAATTCAATTACTTGAAACTAATTACTTTAAACTAAATCCAAGTTAACATCCTTCTTTTTATTTTAACTTAATTTTTTAAAATATTTTGTTTAAAACAAATAAAATAAAAATAATTAGATTAATTTTATAATATAAATTGATGGGACAAAAATCCCATAAGTAATAGCGACGGGCAAAATTTTACCCCAATTAAAAATTTCCGCAGGAATTGCATGTACTAAAATGGGGATACACTCGCGGCCTGCGGGACCCTGTTGCTGTTGCCAGTGATTGACAAGCATGATGCAACTAGATATCAAAGTCAAGGAAGACCATTTCAGCTCTGGTGATGTTGGCCATATTTTAATCAACAATCTTGAGAGTTGGAAGGTGTGGCCCGAAAAATCATCAATATTAAATAAAAATTTGTAAATTTAAACTCTATTGAATATGATTGTAGTTTTAATTTTTATAAGTTTTGTAACTAAGAAAATAACTTGCTTTGTTTCATGTTTTTTGAACATATTATTACAATTATTAAAAAAAAGAATAAAATAGTTTTAATATTATTAAATAAATTTATATTTTTTATTATTAGTATTAAAATTTATCTTATACAAGTTGTTATTTTATTTTTTGTTTTTTGTTTTTTTTAAAGTAGTTAAAAAATTTATGAAGAATAAAAGTAAAAATAAAAAGTTACAATCATACTAATTCTAGTCTTAAATATTGTTAGTCCATATATTCAATGATCACACTCTCTATTTGCACTTTAAACATTATTATTTTTTATTGTAACACTCTTTAGAATTTTCATTCCTAATCAACATACTTAATAATTTAAAACTTATAAAAACCCAAAATTAACAACTAAATCACGTGCAAGTTAAGATACAAATAGGGGATCTGAACATTAATATTTGGGTTTTTTTTTTTTACAAGTTTTAAATATTGAAAGGTGTTGATTGGAAGTAAAAATTTGAAGGGTGTTAACTACAAAAAGTAATAATGTTCAGCATGCAAATAAGGGGGGTTTGATAACCCCAATGAAGTGGTTCAACGGGTTAGAAGTTTAAAACTCGAAATTGGAGATTCTAAATTTAGATATTGAGTTGGGAGGAGAGGGATTTGAGAATAGAGAAGAGATTTAAGAATAGGAAAAGGTTATCCCCTCTTATATAGTTTATAATTAGATGTACCAAAAAAAAAAAAAAAAAGAGGGGTTTGATCATATTCAATTACAAAATGATTTTAGGTTACATGGTCACCCAATTATCATATTGTTCAACTTACTTTTACTTTTGAAATTGTGAACATGATTGCTACAACTACGAGATTGCAACTTCAAGAGAGAAATATAAATAAAAAAATTGAGGAAGATGAAGATCTCTCTGGTGAGTAGGGGCGGAGACACTGTTAGACAAAAGGGGGCTGCTATCAGTGTGTGCATTGCAAGCTAGTGTATACGAGATATTCTATGAACATGTGATTCATATGAATGAAATGTCATTCTTTATCATTTGAGGATAGTATTTATCAGTTTAACTTGCTAAAAATTAGGAAATCTTTCACCAAAACTACATTGATTCAATAAAGTTTATGGAAAAATATTAAAATAATTTTTATTTTTCTCAAGAGAAGAAAGGCTATTTTAGTTTTTTCTTTTCAATGAATATTTATTGAAACAAACTTGGTTTTGGTGATAAAACCCCTAATTTTTTTTACGAGATTGGGTTATTAACCCCTAATTTATGTTGCATGTAAATTTTAATGAAGTTATTAGAACAGTACTCCATGCTGAGGGAATTTAATCGAAGTTATTACTTTGATAATGAGATCCTTATAGAACTTGTGAGTCTATTTTTAGGTATTGAGATATGACAACAATAACACATTGAGGTTTTTTTTTTTTTTTTTTAATTTGACTCTTTAAGGGTGTGTTCCTCGCATCTTTTTATTATTAATTTATATAGAAAATTATGAAAGTAAATTTTATTTTTAACACTAATATCATATGAAAAACTTTTAATGAGATAGTTAATAAAATTAAAATTAATTTTTCTTTTTACTATACAAATTAATGATAAAAATGTGCAAAAAAAGATACATGGTAGACAATTTTTATTTTAATTCGTGTAATTTGATATCCAAATAAAAACACGTGGGTGGTTGTTGGTATCCAAATCAAAAACATATGGACGCTTGAAATTTGTGTGAGTGGATGAGAAGATTACACTGCTTTTTCTAAATGAATAATAACCTTAGGGAAGATCAATATTTCATTTATGGAGAGACCTCGAACTTTGAGGATGATTTCATTAGAATGGGTTAGAATTTTTTTATAAAAAAATACAAAAAGAGGGAAAAGCTTTCCAGGAAATCATGCTACAAGAAGCAGTTAAATATGAATCAAGCACATGTCTTACTCTACTTGATCGTTTGAAACTCTTAATTAACCCACAAAGAGATTGTTATAGCAATTAATATTCATGAAAATTTATCATTTATTTGATCAAACAAACAAAAAAATGGAAAAAGATAAGAAGAAAATGTGACAAATGAATATTTATTAATTTTTTTGCTTATTTTTCAAAAAAAGAAAAAAGAAAAAAGAGAGAAGTATTAAAATGAAGCAAACGTGATATTGGCACGGCTCAATCAAATTAAAGACCCAATTATATATAGCTTGGGAGATTTGATTTGATTGAGCCATTCCAACATCCCCGTTTCCCTTTGCTTACCTCAAAATTAAGCAGAAGATGGAATCAAATGAGATAATAGCTTGGAGACACTGGAGAAATTTCATCAAGCTTTTGTTCTTCATATGATCTGTGATTGATGATGATGAAAACCGCGTAGAGTGAAGAGCAAGATGAGAGAGTTTGTTTAGCAAACCAAATCTGGACAGAGTGTACCTGATTGATTATTGTATTATATAGATAGGCAGACCCAAGTGGAATAAAAATGAAGATATTAGGATATGGTTGAGGTGTCAAAATCTTTGCTCCTTCAATTAGAGTGAACGTGTTTGAAATTTCCATGTCTCATTGCCTCGTCCATCATGCTTAGTGTTTGATGACATTTGCACAAATATTGAAAATTTCCACCTTCTATTTGTATTTTAATTACTAATATTATAACTTCTTTATTTTGAAATTTGAATTGTAAAATAAAAATCGTTAAATAAATAATAGTCTTTAATTTTAGAAGTTTACTTCCATCTAAAAGTTTAAATTGTATAGTTTGAATTATATAACATTTTTTTGATAATATTAAGCACTAAATATATGGCAAAAGTTTATATATTACACTAAATTCATCTCTCTGCTTGGGTAAAAAATGTTATCTATATCTATATTTCGAATAGACAAGTTAAAGACTTTAAATGGAATATATTGACACAAAGAAAAAATAAACATTAAATGAAGTAGATAATTGTCTTGTATTAAAGTGGTTTTTTTTTTTTATGGTACATAAGATAATAGATTATATAATAAGGGATAATTTTAATAAATTATATAATAAGGCATAACTTTCTTTTTTCCATTATCCTTACCCATTTGTTTTAAAGTTTAAATTCAAAATCTTTAATTTGAAATCTCAAGTTTTTAATCAATTGAGACATTCCTTTTGAGGCATTAAAATGGTATTTCATATTAATGGATGGAGGAGAGCACCTATGTATACCAAGAAATGAACTGGCCATATTCGAATTGATCAGGAGATGGAATTTGGCAGATGCTACTGAAGGATATTACAAGTCTAATAATGGAACAAAGTGCTCCACATCATAGGATAGGTCTGCCAATATTTGTATAATATTTTTTTTGGTATTATTGAAAAGTTTAGGATAAGAGAAGATTACTTCAATCTAAGCTCATACCACACACGTACCATTAACTCTTTAGGTACTTATTTTGGTAATTATTGAGACCCTAATGACAGTGGGAATCAATCTTAAGAACAAGTCGTCGAAATTGAACCTTACCAACTCAACTAATACTTATTTAAAAAATATTGTATATAATATTTATTTGGTCATTGCTCTCACATCTGTCAACCAAAAATCTCTTCTAAAATGACTTCTAATTTCTTGGGGTCAGGCATGGTGGAGGTTGTTGAAAAGTAAGATTATTATCTCATGAAAACAGATTTTTTGATAAATAATCCAACCACTAATATACTATTTCTTGAATAATATAATACTAATTCAAATTTATTGTTAGGGTTAGGATGGGAGGGGAAGGGGAAGAATCTGGCTTTATTGGTCTCCATGACTCCTTTCATTCCACTAAAGACATGAAATGAATATATACCTGATTTTTGGTCCCAATTTCTCTTCACAATATCATATATATTAAGAAAATTATGGTTACAAAGCATTGAAAAGGAAATCAGATTTGACCCTGCAGCCGGTGAAGTAGCTTGCAGCTTGGCCATTCCGCCCTTTCAATTGTACGAGTGGTTAACAAAGAGAGAATTGAAGCGACCCCCACATCAGTGTAATTTTCCCCTTTAGCTTATAAGGAAGGTTCTCCAGACTCAAGCAAGAAATAATTAAACAAAGATTGATAAACTCAATAATCCCAACGACGGACCCATTCGATTAGCTCAAGTGATGTGACCCTTTCACAGAAGTTGGTTAAATCCATCTTTCAAGGGTAAACAATTTCAATAGAGCTTAACCACCATAGTTGAGTGAGGATCTGTCTGATACTCATAGAAAAAGGACGAGTTTGGACGTTCATATAGAATTAGTCTGTTACAGGATTGGATATTTATATTATATATATATAAATAAAAATTTATTTATATATAAATTTTATACATTTCACTTACATAAAATCTTAATTATTCATTTCTTTATTTTTCAAACTTGAGATTTATTCACAATATTTATTAAAAATAATTATTTTTTCACATAAAAAATCATAATAAATCTTAACTATTAAAAGTAAAGATATAAAAAATTAAGATTTTATATAAATGTAATATATATAAATATATGCATAATATATGAAACTTTTATGTAAGAAATCTCTCTCTCTCTCTCTCTCTATATATATATATACATATATATAATCCCCCACGCCAATACTTGGCGTAGAGGGACTAAATTTAGACGTTATATCTTCAAAACCAAGGAAACATGTTTTTCCTTTCCTGTTCCAATACCCAACAACTGCAAGAAAAGGGGAGCAAATAGCCAAATACAGCAAAAAATTGAAGTTATTTGACAAGTAAGTTCAGTCGTAACTATAATCCATTCCATTGGAATGCAGAAGTCAGAACTACTTTCAACAGCCAGCACAGCCGATGCACGGAGATGAAAGGACTTCAAAGCTTAGTTCTATATGTTCTTGGGCTGTGCTTATATCCTTGAAAGGAAAACTGTAGTTATGCGACTACATGCGAAAAAGCAACAAAGAATCAGATGGTGATACCCAGAGACTTCTTGAATTTCTCTACTTCCAAATATGCTGTGGAGTAAGGAAGGAATTCTGAGAAATGTTCTTTGCTTAGGTCATTGATTGCCACTGCAAGTTTAGGGATTTCTAAGGTTTCTTCGTGGGTTAGAGTCCGAACAAACCTTGCAGGATTACCTGCCCAAAGCTCGCCAGTTGGAATTCTCCTACCTGGGGGAACCACAGAACCAGCTTCAAGGATAGAGTGAGTCTCCACCAATGAACCTTCCATTAAAATAGAGTGCTGGCCAATAATGCACTCTGGTTCAATTGTAGAGGACCTCAGGAGGCAGTATCCACCAACTGTCACAAATCTCTCAACTGATGTCTCAGCTGGCAATCCTGAGACACAGAAAGATGTTATCCAAATAAAATATTTTCAAATTTCATAGATGAATGTAGACATGGAAAACAGTTCTATAATTTTCCATCTTTTCAGTGATAGAAAGATAAAAAGGACTCAGAATTATTGTCCAGGGTGTCCTTAAGAGACCCTGTAATTAATATATGCACATTTTATTCCACTTTTGGAACCCCAAGGGTATGTATATCATCAACTTTATGAGAAACAAATAACACATGGGGTAGAAAGCAACAACAAAATAAAGTTCAACTCAAAAAAGCAGCTGCTCATGGCAGATACAAAGTAAAATTCAATTATCACTTTAAAGAGTATCAACTAATGCAATACCCACTCACCTAAAAAATAAAGTTAATTAGCATTCAAAAATGAACTTGCAGGTTCTAGGAGCAACACCAGCAACCATTTATTTGAAAAAAAGGAGAAATTATAAAAAGGATATTTAGGGCATGTTTGGGTTAGCTTGTAAGAGCTTCAGCTTTTTGATACTATTCATGTTTCATAAGTTTAAATTTTTCTCTTAAAAACTTACATTTTTTAACTTCTTTTTAACCTTAAAAAGACCTTAATCAGTAAATTTTGAAAAGTTACAAATTCGTGATTTTTATAAACTTCCTTTTACTCACTTTTTTCTATTTCTAAAAGCAACTTTTAAATTTTCCCTCTAATAAAAATTTAAACTTATCACTCATAAACAATACAAAAAGAGTAAAAGCTCTTACAAGCTAACCCAAACATGCTCTTACATTTATAGATCCAATGATGGACAACTTATGGTCCTATGGACCTCAAAGCCAGTGCAATGTAACAGGGACATAAAAGGATATCTGTTAAAAAGAGACTGGAGTACTGTTTAGGTGAACTTAGATTTCTACCAATGCGAATTACAAGATACGTAACAGCCAAAGCAGACATATATGAGGTGTCAACATCATAAAACAGTGCCAATTAAGATTGATGAATTATTCAATAAATTGCCCTCCTTTTTGACACGGCTACCCATAATTTTGAACAGAGTAAAAAAACTCTCAGAATTAAGATATTATAAGTCTTCACTGCCTATACTAGTCAACCTGTGTTAAATAGTATAAATAAGTTTACCACCACATTTACCATATCCAGAGATGAGCTGTATATAGAAGATAAAATTAAAATATCATCCAAGGAAAAGGGAAAAGCAAAATTATCATTGATGTAATACTTAGATAAAGGACTCCCAGGCTTAGCACATCTATTATCCACTAGTTCAGCCAATAAAAACTCTAGTAAGTGAGAGAATGTTATAATACAGATAATAAGGTGCCCTCACAAACAATCCTCTAGCATGTGTAACACCATTTAAAACTGTCCTGTCACTTGCACCTTCCCGCATCTAAATATTCATCCAACACCAATAACTAAGTGCATCTATGCTCATAACATATACAGAAAAAGGCAAATAGTTCAAGGCTTAGCCTAATAGGGGGAGAGGTTGGAGGTTCAAAGTTCAAATTCCCCTCCTTGGCCTGGGAATCCAAAATGTACCACAAAAAAAAGGAAAAGGGGCAATAATGTGATTCTGCTTCATAACAGGTTGAAAATCATTGGAATGCCATGCAGCCTTGAAAACCATATTTCTATGCAGTTTGAGATGGGAATACTAGCCGAGTCTTTAATGAATGAACAACAGCAGCTTCTTAAATCATGCCATCGGCAGCCCCAATTCAATGTAGGCAATTGCTTTCACTGCTACTTGGTAAAGAGAGGAAAATCTATGTCTCATTATACTATTGGTTACTATGCTTTTTGTTATGATTCAATAATTTATATTGACATAAACACTCTTAAATTCCTTTTCCTGAAATGAAAATACAAAATGAATCACATCCTTGCATAGTCAAAAAGTATCAAAATCTGTCCTCCAGGGCAACTACAATAGCAAAGTCTATACTAAGATATATTGACAACTGTGCTTATGTTTATCATGTCTCACAAATATCCCATCATCTTGTACTTATCCCACTGCTACAACACATTCTCCTGCCATGCACCATGCACCATGCACCATCCACCATCCACAATGAAGAACATGGAAAAAGGGATGTTCACATCATGAGGTAAATATTGCAATCTACTGCTCTTATGGAATCTTTCAAATAAAAATTACTACACGTCCCAAGGAATGAAAATAGCCAACAACAGTTTTGGCAAAAGCAGCATCAGTATGCAGTGTGGATGTAACTTGGAAAATTATGTCCGATACAATATAACAAAACCATCCTCATCACTAGGTACCCATTTCACAAGAAAATGAATCTGATAACATCCATGGCCTTATTTCTGGCACACCGAAAAATAAAAAATAAAAAATAAAAATAAAAAGAGAGCCTGCATGGCCTTATTGTGCCTCCAATAACATGTACTGAGGTTTGAATAATCTATCAAGTCATCATTTTTCAAAGACTAATCTAGCTCATTCTGCATTGCATTACTAGCGGTGTCTTATACCTTTCTCATTTCCACAAAATAATTCTAGTTTTGCTAGTCATTTCAGCTGCATTGAAGATAGTTCATTAATCCTTTCATTAACACGCCCTTTCTACAATCCTTGACCTAATCAAGCTTAATTAAGCTCATTCCAAATCACAACAACAACAAAATCACACCCCATCAAAATTAATGAATCAACCCTAAAAATTGGACCACATTAGCATAGTTATCACTAAAGGAAGCCCTCATTTTTTACATTCTTCAAATTTCACAACCGAAATTAAGAATTCACAAACAAATAAATATTGCAAAAAACCCTACTTAATTGCCTCCATATGAAAAGAGTAATTGAGAGGAATGCAGAGTGAAAATGGTTACCAGTAGGAGAAGACGATGCGGCGTGAATGACGCAGCGCTCCTGTACATTAGAGCAGAAACCAATGGTGATCTTGTTGAGATCACCACGTAGGACAGCACCATTCCACACGGATGCCCCATCGCTAATGGTGACCTGACCGGCAAGAACCACGTTGGGCGCGACATAGGCGTCAACGGCAATCTTGGGGACCCAAGGACCCAGCGGAATTATCTTCCTCTGGCCCCTGTAGTCCCACTTGACTCGATCCGGCGAAGGCCTGAAGTTTTTGGCTGATTCGGTGGCGAAACTCCGGGAGACGACATGGCTCGGGGCTGAGAGGGCTGAGGCAAGGGCTTTTCTGGAGAACCGAGCTAGAGATATTGCCATTTTGCTACTGAGGACAGGTGAAACGGAGGTGACGGTGAGCGCCCTCTGAGAAAAAGGGGGGAGAGTGAAAGTGGAACTGCTGAACGGCCCAACTCAAGCGATCCGATGGCTGATTCGAGATTCGTACCTGAGCTACTTCGGTTGTAATTTTACTTGAGCGAAAAGGGCAAATACCCTTTGAATGGTGGGAAACCAGCACCTTTACTAAAAGCAAAGCAATTAAACCCTAAAACTTGTCAAATTGTGGTAATTGGAAAAGAGCCCTTCACCACTAGAAATTTTTTATATTCAGACCGACATAATTCAGATCGGTTAATATTGGTCTGAAAAATTATTAATTCATACACTAATTACTATGAATATTTATTGATTTGGATTGGGTGGTAAGTTAATTGGGAACCTTATATTCAGAACATTAACGAGCTGAAAATTGTTGACGCCAACATAGTAAAAATGGGTCAAATATTTTGAACCGAGTATGGTTTGAATAGTACCAAAAAAATTTAAATTGCCAGACAATTAAAGTGATATTAGGTGGTGGGATATTTCTTTTTCATATTTCTGGATCGATGATAGTCTAAAAAATTAGAAGACAATTTTTGAAGTTAAATGGGATTTAAAGGTAGAAGATTTTGGATATACGCATGCCAAAATTGGTCTGGAAAATTGTATTTTTTTGGTGCAATTTTCTAAACCAACTTAGGTTTGGATAAGATTCATTATCTGGATAGGTTATGATTCGGAAAAGCTGGCCCAATGTACGTCTGGTTGAGATGATGTTCGGTAAGCTTTTCTCACTTTTTTGGACCGGAAAGTGATTCTACAGACTCCTCTTCTTCCTCCATCCCTTCGCCTATTTCCCATTTCAACTTCCCATTTTCCTCCCAGTTTTTGCCCTTTTTTGCACATGTTTGTTCCTCCATCATCTACCTGTCGTCTACAAAGGTGAGGGTGATTTTGTAGCTGGTTAGATGCAAAAATTAATCCCTTTAATTTTGTTTTTAATTTTTAGCATTTTCAGCATTTTTTTTTTCCTGAAATCCAGCACTTTCAGCACAGATCTTGCAATCTAAGGTCATCCTCACCATCATCTATCTCTAATTTACACCCTAAGGGAGTATTTATTTATTTATTTATTTTGAATTTTTCTTGTATTTTTTTGTATTTTTTAGGAAATTAAGAAAATTTAGTATTTATTAAATAATATTGTAAAATAGGTGTTGCTTGTGTAGATATATTTAGTTGTTTAATTATGAGTGTGATGTAAAATTTTATGGTATAGAAAAAATAATAAAAATTTGTATTTTACTTATTTTTACATAAGTAATTTATAAATTTTGCCTCCTAAGGTCGTCCTCATCATCATTCATCTTTGATCTGCACTCTAAATGAGATTTTTTTTTCATTACTTTGAATATATCTTGTATTTTTTTTATTTTTCAAAAGATTAATAAAATTTGATATTGAATAAATAAAATTGTAAAATAGATATTGTATGTGTAGATATATTTAGTTGTTTAATTGTGAATATGGTGTAAAATTTTATGGTATAGAAAAAATAATAAAAATTTGTATTCTAGTTTTTTTTACACAAGTAATTTACAATAAATTAATATTATAAAATATTTTGTTATATATTTTTAATTGATTGTATAGAATCATTTTATTATTTAATTGTAAATATTATGTAAAATTATGTATTATAAAAAATGTATAGAAATTTGTTTTGTACTTATATTTTAAGTAATTAATTTATAATAATTTAATTATATTAATTATCATGTTAATATTAAAAAATATAGTTTATATTACTACAGTTTTAAAATTATAAAAAAAATGATGTAAAATTTAGCGTTATAAAAAAATTTAAAGGAGAATTTATTGTATTTATATGTTCTAGCATCAATTTATAATAAATTAATATTATAAAATATACTTTATATTAGAAAAAAATTGGAAATGGTGAGGAATGGTGAGGGATGATTGGAGTTGAGAGAAAGGAATTAAGAGGATGAAGATGGGGTATTTAGGTAATTTTGTATTTGTTAATGTATTAATTAATTAAAATGATTAAATGTGGTTGTAAAATTATAGAAATATATGGTATGGAAGTCCAAAAAATGTCATATCATCAAAACAAAGACATGTTTTTTGGCACGTCATTAAATCTTCTAAAAAAGTGAATGAGTTTTTAACATGCCGTGTGTCACTTCTATTGATGAAGGACCAAATGAGTACTAAAAATTAAAGTTGAGGAATATTTTTAGTATTTTTTGAAATTTAAGGATAAATTTGATTTAAAAATGAAAGTTGAGGGATCAAATTTAGATTTTAACCTATTTGTACTTCTAAACTATATTATTTTATATCATTTGTTTTTTAATTGTAATTTTGTTAATATTTGTTGGTTTGTATTGCTATCATTATGTTTATTTTATTTGGCATGTTTTGTATTGTTCTATTATATTTATTTTATTTAGCACATTAATCTTAATCTATTAAATGCTATAATTATATTACGTATATTGTGTGTTTTTTATTATAATTTGGTTGATATTTTCTAATTTGTATTTATATAAATATATTTATTTTATTTAAAATGTGAATTTTAATCTATTAAATACTTTGATTATATATGAATTAAATAATATAATTATTTTGATTGTATTTTCTTTTTTTAATTGTATTTTGGTTTATATTTGATGGTCTATATTTTTATAATTATGTTTATTTTATTTAGTATGTTAATTTTAATCTATTGTTTTTAAGTTAATTTACTAATAAACTTCTTTTTCTTTTTATTATTTGTATAGTGGATTGTTGTAATTTAAGATGTATAGAGACAGTTGATGCATATCAGCCCAAGACTACAACTGATACTACTTTTTATAGTTCTAACAATTCAAATGACATAGAGCTGGCACCCCATCAAAGAAAGGGATGGGAAATGGCAAAACTAATGAAAATGCCAACAGATGGCAATAACATTTCATTGTTGCTTGATGATGGCAGCAATATCCCGCAAAATATTAAGCAAGAGATTGTAGTGTAGTTAAAAGAGAATCTTCTAGATGCTTATATGGCATGGGGATTTGTTCCACAAGAGCATTGAGATGTTTATTGAAATCAGTTTTGTGTATAGCCCATCCTTTAAATTTTCGGGTTAATTTCCAAATAGGTCGAATAAGACTTATTTTAATTCAATCTATAGTTCTAAAATTATTTATTTATTTAATTTTAAAATATATTTTTAATTATTTCTAACACATTTTCATGTTTTTTTTTTTCCTTAGCAAAAATTTCAATGGGAGCCAACGATTTATGCTAAGGTGAAAACACTATGGAGTCAAACATGTAGTATCAAATTCAAGCATGCATTAAATGAGTTGAAAACAGTGCATAGCAAACAATTTTCAAGTGAAGTCCACAAACATGAATCCTGAGCTATTTCAAAAACTTGTTCATATATGGACCAAGGTAATGGAGTAAAGTACTGTGTTAAAATTTTTAAGGTTAAAACCCCATTTTAGTCCATGAACTATTGTACGGACCCCCGATTTGGTCCTTAAACTAAAAAATCTCTGATTTAGTCCCTACTGTTTACCAATTTTACCCCAAGTTGGTCCTTCCATCACAGAACTTTAATGACATGTCAAAAACTTGAGACACGTCAATTGTAAAAATGAATGAATGATGACATGGCAACATGACATGTCATTTTCTTGCCCCAACACAAAAGTGGGACCCATCAAAATTACAATTTTGCCATCATCTTCTTCCTCTAGCAAACAAACCTAGTGCCTGATTGAACCCACCAAGCGCCCTTTCTTTTTCCTTCCTTTTCCTTGCCTTGCCTTGCCTTCTTCATCAATCAATTCTTCATCTTCATTAATCGATTCATCATCATCATCAAACAACCAAACCCACAAAAAAAAAAAAAAGAATTTTTTTTTTAATTTTTTGCCCTTGGGTTCGATGAACCCACACCTATGTTCTTTGAACCCTGGCTTGGGTTCTTCAAAGGAACCCAACACCTGGGTTCTTTGAACCTGCACCTGGGTTCCTTGAAGAACCCAAGCCTGGGTTCCTTCAAAGAACCCAAGCGTGTTGGGTTCTTCGAATCCAAGCCTGGGTTCTTCAAACCCGCGCCTAGGTTCTTCAAACCCGCGCCTAGGTTCTTCAAACCAGCGCTTGGGTTCCTTTGAAGAACCTAAGCATGTTGGGTTCTTTGAACCCACGCCTGGGATCCAAGAACCCAACGGCTGCTGTTGGTGTTTGCCCTCTACTCTTCTAGGGTTTGAATGGGAAGAAGGAGAGAAGATAATGATTTTGGCAGAAGGTGGGCCCCACATTTTTTTTGGCTAGCTGGAATCTGACATGTTTTAATGACATGTTATCTTTTTTCATGTGTATTGCTGATGTGGCATAATATTTTGACATGTCATCATTTCCCGTTAGTTAATGGGACACATCATTGGATTTTTAACGGAAGGATCAAGTTGGGGTAAAATCAGTAAAAAAATAGGGATTAAATCAAGGATTTTTTAGTTCAAGGACCAAATCGGGGGTCCGTACAATATTTCAAGGACCAAAATGGGATTTTAACCAATTTTTAAATATTAGCGATAGCAATTTTTAATTATTGTAATATTATATTAAAATATTTTCATCAATTTTTTAATATGAAGATCATGTTATGTGGTCTAATGCTGCAAAGACAAATCGGGCCAAAGGCCCAAAGGTCACACACACCAATGGGTCTATGGACGTTACTACATATAGGAAGAAAATGGTATAGAAGATAATCGTGTTTTTGGAAGTTTATTAGCAATATTTTTATATTCGTGTATATTTGTTTTAAAATTTGTAATTTTTTCCATTACAGCAAAGTGTAGATTCATTTGGTCATCCACCTTCAACTAAGAGGCAACATCAACTAAAAGGAAAAGAGTAGCTGCCTACCCATTGAACTATGAGGCTAGGGAAATTAGTATAATATTTAATAATATGAAATATAAAACTTCTAATGTTGGGCAAGATGGTGGTGTTAGGTAGGAAGGGCGTTAGAGGAATTAAAATAAAAAGTGAAGTTTTTCGTTAGGTTTTTAACAGCAAGACTATCTTTTTACTCTTATTTCAAAACATGGGTTTTTAAGTGCACATTTTGATATCACAAGCCTTTAAATGCACTTCCCCTAAATCATAGGTAAGTTAAGTGTAATTTCCTCTACTTGATATTACACCAACGGGATTGTTCATATATATACATCAAAAAGTTGGCAAAAAAAATAAGGCCAATAGACAAAACACACAACACCTTTCCTTCATATACCACATCCATTCTCACATCATTGGCCCTTGGCACCAAGCATTTAACTTTAGAACACAAAAAGAATTTGACTTAACTTTTACTACTAATTACCTTCATGTAGGATAGACTCTAGCCTCATGTCACCTAAAAAAATAAAAACAAATAAAAAAATTAAGTGTATATTAAGCTATTTTGATTACGTAATCTTATTAATATTGTCATATTCTTGGGTCCATTAGTAAACAGTCTTACCCACACATGCTTCACGTGTGCTCCTTCTTGCATGTACAGCCAGATACATCAATCATCTTCAGTGTAGCACCCCCTTAGCATTTGGTCTTAAGGTGAGGATTGATGTTTAGAAGCATGTGAGCCATTTGTGGAAACTGGATTAATAACCACTTGTACTTTTTCTTGAAACCCCTTACCATACGAAAGGTGCGCCACTTTACTACTATGTCATACACCTCTAATGTGAAGTACCAATCTCAGAAGTATGGCTCAATACTTGTCCCGTAGCCCACACTGAACCGATTAAATAGTTTGGTCCAATCAACTACATCCCATTCAGATCACTAGGCACACTCTTTGTTGTTTGTTGCCTAAAGCTATCGGCTGACATTCAGATGGACATGTTCATACTCAACACCCTTGGTATACACAGAGTTGATCAAAGGTATGACCTTTTAAACCTAGGGGTTGTACTCCACCTCGCCATGGGTATTAACACGCATCTTTCTACTATAAATCATGACTATGCATCCAGTAAGGTCACGAACATGGTCCTCCCACTAAGATT